GGGAGGGGAGGCAGATCTGTAACAAATGAAGATGGGGCCTTAGAGATGAGGCATAGTCTTTTAAATTTTTCTCTCGCCCCCTGTCCCAAACCTTCAATTTACTTGACTTTTGTGGCTAGTATATATGTAGCAAACAAGGTGCCACTTTAGTAGTTTTCACGGTTCAGTGACGTTAACTATTTTCACCTTATTTGCATAAACAGCATATTATCCTTTCCCAAGTTTGCCCACCATCTTTAACAGAAGCTGAGAACCCATTAAGCAAGGACTCTTGTTTGCTTTAAGTGCCAATGAATTGGTTCTGACTCAGAGCGACCCTCTATAGGGTTTCCAAGGAGCGGGTGGCGAGTTTGAACCACCGACCTTGCGGTTCAAACTGACCTGGGGGACCAGTGTTTATCCTACAGTGCCACGCCAGTACCCTCTAGCCAGCGAAAGTTCTCCTTTCCCTTTCACCCCTGGTAACCATCACAGAATGCTTCTGTTAGCAAGGAAACCTTCTATTGACTTTTTACAATTGCGGTCTCCTCTAGTACTTGTCCTTTTTGTGACTGTGGTGGTGTGCTGTGGAGTTGGTTCCAACTCACTGCAACCCTGTATAGGGTTTCTGAGGTTGTAAATCTTTACAGGAGCAGAAAGCCTCATCGTTCTCCCACAGAAGGGCTGGTAGTTTTGAACTGCCAACCTTGAGGTTAGCAGCTCAACTTGTAACCACTCCGCTATGAGAACTCCTTTTTGTGATTGTAGATAAGCCATACTTGTGATGAGAAGTCTGTAATTACAGACGTAAAAGCAAAACAAGCTAAAGGCATCAGCATCCTGATTCCGCTGGCTAGTACACGGGGGGGGGCAGGGAGGTAGGGGGAGGACACAGTTCTCACAGGAGCCAGAGTTGTACCAGCTGAGTGATACATGGTGAAAATAATGCCTTGGTACATGTACAATCTGTAACAACATGAGAGTGTTGAAGACAGCCCTAAGTAGGTACTAATCCATCCTTGACAAGATTGTTACTGGGGAAAAGGAGCTGCAGAGCTCAAAATACTGGCTGGTCCCCAAACTGCAGCCCTAGCCTCTCCACAGAGGTTGTCCTGTGGTGGCTCATAGGACGGCAAATGCGTGCCTGTGGGGATGGAACACACTATCCAAACAGAAATTCAACCTGCCCCCCACCCCTCCCAGCAAAACCATGGCTGTTGAGTCCGCTCCAACAGCTGCCTTCACCTGGGTTTTCTTTCAAAGCATTGCCAGGTGGGTTTGAACCACTAACCTTCAGTTAGTAGTCAAGCAAACTGTTCGTGCCACCCCCTACCCCACCCAGAAACTAGATGCCTTCTTACTGGAGATACACTGAAGATGTTTCTTCTACACAGGTGGTTGTTGTTACCTCATTTTGAGCGCAGGGTTCAAAATTTAACTATAATGTATCATTTTGCTTCTAAAGCTTTCTGGGAGCTTTTTCAACAAGGGGAGAGCAAAGGCTTTGGAGCAGAGAGACCTCACTCTGAACCCCAGTTCTGGCTGCACCTGCTGTCTCTGGGTTAAACATGATGCAACTATCTCAAATATGACAAGGCCAAAGGTAAAAAGGGCATGCTCTAGGAAAAGCCAAGAACGACCCTCTAACTCATGGCACCCATACATGTGTCAAAGTAGAACTCTGCTGCATGGGGCTGTCAACGGCTGCTGGTAAAATGCTGATTGCCAGGTATTTCTTCTGAGGCACGTCTGAGCACTCTTGAACCATTAGCCTTTCAGTACTTCCTATTCGCAGAATTGTGCCACTTTAGTGTTTCAGGGGGTTGGGGAAGCATCTGGTCCCATTTTACACATGAGGCACCTGAGGTCTGAGATGTTAGTTAGTCCAGGTGGGACTGAGACAGGAAAAGGGTGAGGCCAAGAACCAGAGCATCCAGGGATACAGGGGTGTGACTGGGGCAGGGAGGGAGGCATGGATGAGAGGGGGGTGGAGTGTAAGAGGGTACAACTAGTAACAGAATAGAAGTGGGCCTGATTCACTGGGGGTCTCGGGTTTAAGGGGTGACGGCAGCGGGGGAGAGGGCAGGGTGCTTTAGTCAGTGGTACGGTACTCCTGACTCCATTTTGTGAATGAAGTGGGGGTGGAAGGGGCGGGTAAGGATGTGAGTCAGCCTGGGGGGGGGGGTCATGACTTGGGCTAAGGGGTGTGGTTTGGTGTAGCTCAGCTGTGGGGGGCGTGGCTTGATCATAGAAGCCAGGTAAGGGGTGAGGCTATGTAAGGTAGCCAAGGCTAGGGTTTCATAGGTGTGGCAGTGAATACTTGACTCTGGCATTGGGGTGGCTCAGGTATGAGGGTGGGGCTCAGG